TTTTTTAAAAAAAAAAAAAAAAAAAAAGAGTAGTCGTAAGTAAATATTACACCTCACCCCCAAAGTCACCAGCAGGGATAGGGATAAAAATAACAGGAAAGGAGATTCATAGTCTGTGCTTCTATTCGGGTAAAAGCATTATTTTAGCAAAGTTAGGTGTTTGGCCAAGATTTTAGAAGGAAAAGAAAGTTGTTTTTGAATAGAGGCAGAAGCAGTTTTGAGAAGAGAAAAAAATAGATTCTCCCTAAAATACTTTTGAGAAAAATACATTTAAAGTACTTTTTAAAAATTTGGTCAAACACTAATTATTACTCAAAAGTATTTTTTAAATTGGTAAGCCAAATACAAAATGTTTCTTACTAAAAATAATCTTGTGAAAAACACTTTTCAAAATGAGGATAATTGAATTTTGCATATAAGTCCAGGCTGGTACTTTGCAATCGAATATTCTGAATATCAGGCCCTTTATATCCCTTTCCAGAATTTCCACTTTTTTAGAGAGTACAGTGTTCTTTTCTCCCAAGAAGCATATGCTAGCCTATAAAATATTCTAACTATTCTCAAAATTTGTGAATTATTTGGCTGGTACTTTTTTTCCTGTTTCTTGCTTTTTCTAAAGTAATTTAGCTAATGTTTCATCTTCAATTTGAGTTAGTAAATGGTAAACATCAACATTTTGAATCAATCCAGAATTTGAGTTTGAAATTACTCAAAATGCAGCCTTTCAGTTTGTACCCAGTTTAGAATCAATATAACTGTTTTATACTTTAAGGGCAAAAAAAATGTCATTACTGTATGAAAAAGGACATGAACTACCCAAGTGCTTGTTAAAAGTTTTTTAGTATAGCACAAAGATTTTCTGTTATGAGGAGGGACTAAGATGATCAAAGATTAAGTGGATATAATTTTTATGCAGTAAAATGAAAAAAGTGGGAAGACTCAAAGAAACAAAGTGAAATGTACTAAAATTAATGAATAGTAGCCATTACATATATTATAGGCAATTTAAAAGAATGTATGAAATTTCAATAAACTAAACAACCATCCGGGGGAGCAGCAATTGACGCAACCGGAAAATAAATGAAAATTACAAGTTAAAACAATTAATAATGGCCTTTATCAACATAACTACAACTAGACTCCTACAAACACAATCACAATACCCTTCACAGGGAAAAGCCGGGCTCCCGAATTTTAACACAACATCAAGCATCAGTGGAAAAGTTCCCTAATGGAACACAGAAAAGATTGCAGATACCAGCAGCAGCATCGTGAAAATGAATTTCGACCCGTTGCCTCTAATGGATGTTGCAGATGATATATCTTGAGGCCTGAGGATTAAATGAACAACATTAGACAGGTATTCTGAGGTATTGTGCTTAAACATTTAGGTGAAGATAGTTGATTACTTACTTTTGCAGTTTGCTAAGTTGACCACAGAAGAGTGCATTGTCTGGCATTGGCATCTCAGTCTTGTTAGAGGGCTCTGAATTAACAACCCTGATGTATGTTTCTTGGCCTAGAAACCATGAGTCGAGGTTTTCTGTTCTCAGGTTCCAAATTCCAACATTGTCAAGGGAGACCAAGATTGCTGTCCATGCTCCAGGGAAAACCTGAGAAGCATACGAAAGATAAGAGAATTGTCATGATATGGAGTCTTTGAAGACATGAAATGAAAATTAGGAACTACAGCCAAGCACAAAATTTCTGAAATAACAGGCAGCGATAATAGTATATTCATGTCCCTAAGGTGGAGCAATACTAGATGTGCCAGTTGACACTAGAAGTTTATTAAGCTGGTAAAGGGAACTCTTTGACTGGCACAAAACATGTCGCAGAAGCTTAGCATGCTTGTACTTTACAGCACAATTACAGTGACAACCAGAAGCAAACTGAGTTCTGATTTCTCGTTTAAAATCAGCAGCCATGTTGCAACAATAACAACAACAACAAACCCAGCGTAATCCCATAAATGGGGTATGGGGAGGGTAGTGTATACGCAGACCTTACCCCTATAGACCCTCGGCTCAGCAGCCATGTTGCAATGCAAACAAATTACAAAGTGGTCATCTTATCACTGGCACATACAAGTAAGAAAAGAATTGAACTTATCAGATCAGATTGTAAGCAGTGTTCATTGAGATGGCAACCAAAATATAGTGAGTTTGTCCAAGGCATGCATCCATAATTCAACATGCTACAGCAAATATTAGTCTTAACAACATGCTATACCTTTTCTTTTTGATAACATACTTCATACGCTTAGTATAAACCTTATTTCACCTGTCTAATAGACTACTCATAATTTTCTTGGCACCAAAATGAAGTGTAAGCCTGTACTAACTTATCAAGAATTCAGAGAAATTCGCAAGATATAACAACGATTACCTGTGTTGTGGTTCGAGCTATTCCATCCCATTTGTTGTAAGTGCCCCTACTACTATTTGACCATACACCATAATCCATCCTGCAAGTTGGTATTAATGAAAAATCAAGTTTAGAGAAAAGAGTTTTCCAGTTTCAGGTTTGAAATACAATGAACACTGAGAGGAGGCCAGATCATACCCGACCACAAAAAAGGCGTATCCACTCATGTGGTATGTATGCACCTTGGTATCGTTGTTCTGTAATATTACTTCCATAAATCCCCTGTAGGTACCATTTATAACAGAGGTTTCCATCTTAGGAGGTCCTGTTAGTGGTGCCATAGGGAAGTCTAGCTTATATACACCCTTTAATTTGTACTTGTCAGCAAGTCTGATTGGTGTTTTAGGATTAACAAACGAAATCCCATTAAGTGTTGTTCTTCTTTTTCCATCTACCATCGTTGGCGGCTTATTTTGGATCACGTATATCTCTGTCACATTAATTGAGCCATATCTGAAAGAGCCTTGGGGATTTGGGCGAGCTCCGCTTGCCGTTACATTCCACCTGCATAGCATACACCATAACACCTATTACTTACAACTTTCTGATACAAGTTGATAAGTGCATCTGGGGAGAGAAACAAACCTAATAGATCTAGCCTGGTTCATGGAGTAAGTTTTGTCGAATTCATCTTGAGGTGGTTCGGGAAGAGGACCATGTGCCTTTCCTTTTGAGTTTGTGTATTTTAAAATGCCAACACCAGTGACTCTTTGCCATTGTGATTGGTTGACAAATCTGGCGCTTGCAACAATATAGTAATCAGAACTTGCGTTCTGATCCATGGTTATCAAAAAGGAGTATGATTGTCCAACATGTATGTCTAAGCTAGTATAGTTTTGCTGCACAGTATATGATCCCTCTGCTTCTGCCAAAAGTAAGTTATGATTCTGAATTCTGAAGTTCAAGCTGGTTGATATCCCTACATTGCTTACACGAATCCGGTAGGTTTTGCCTGCAGAATCATAATATTAGTATTACAAAACAACAGAGAAGAGAAGTGTATGGCACTATAGATAATTAACAAGACAATTTAGCAGCACAAATGAGGACTTACATTTCTAGACAGAGGCGAAGTCAGGAATTCTAATAATGGGATAGAAAAATGCAAAATGGTATACCTAGAAACTTCTCTTATTACAAGGAATAAATATATATATACACACACATATATGCATGTATAAGTTTGTTTTCACCCTACTTGCTCGGTATAGTTTTTGGACGAAGAGGATTCAATTGAACCTCCTTTCTTACCTTTAGCTCCACCACTTGTCCCAGATAATCAATTAATTTCTACATATGGATGCATTATTTCGCAGAATCAGTTAATTCATTTTCCTTCTCTACACTATTGAACCACAAAAGCATAAGCCTTTGCAAGAAGGTGAAATGAAACTCTAAAGTGTCTAGAGGAAGTTTTACCGCGGAAATGTTAAAGAGGGAAGTTTTTGTCAGAGCAGATAAAATCCATGTAACAAATAACATGAATTACGCCGAGGACAACATAAATCTTACTCCTCTTTAACAAGTAGTAGTCACATTCTAGCACAATGTAGCTTACCCGGGTGGACGGTGATAGTTTCATAGTCAATGCCATCAGGCACAATAGTATCATTGTATCTATAAGGACCTTTTCCATTAATTAAAACACCATCTGGCTTCCCCAAATCTTTCCCGGCAAGAAGAGTGTTCCTCAAAGCCTACATCGATCCAACAAGAAGCAAAAGGTACACATTATACACTAAAACTATACAAAAAATTTAACTTCAACAAAAGCTTTACACGATAAACTCATCGCGTAAACACTAACCGTGTGATTTCTGGTGTACCAATCACCAATCATAATAGTGATATCATCATATGGAAAATCAAAAGGGATTGGAATTTCACCCCTGTTGTTAATAGTAATTCCACCAAAACCACCTGATGCTCTCTGAAAATGGAGTGAAGGGAAGTAAAAGAAACTTCCAATTTGGTCCTTGACCTGAAATTGGTAAGTCCAATTCCATCTTGAAGGGATAGGACAGTTTGTTCCTGGTAACCCATCTTGCCAAGTTGTCTTCTTCTGTTGAACACCAGACCTGTATAATTACAACAAAATTTTAACATAAAAAAACCACTAACATTCAAAAGAGTGTACTCAGCGGGAAAAATTAAACTTACCAATGCAGGAGAAGTTCTTCATCTAATTTGTTCTTTACATTAACAACAACATTGTCATTAGTGGTCACATTCATTGTTGGTCCAGGAAATTTTCCATTTATAGCAATAACCTGAAAAAGATTGGGTAAATATAGCTCAAGAAACTTAAAATCTAGGCATTAAGCTTCAAAATACATTAACTCTAAGCACAAAGTTGGAAACTTTGACATCACATATACCATAGATCTGAAACCAATTTTGAAGAAACACTACGAAAAATATTAACATATGTACGGAAAAAATAAGAGATCTGAAAAAACAAACCTGTTGGGGCACACCAAGTGGAGAAGCTTCAATGTAGGAGACTTCAAAGTTAAAAAACTTAAATGGATCTCCAGCAAAACATAACCCCATAAACAAGAAAATGCACACAAGGGTGATTTGGAAAGACTGAGTACAAGAAGCCATTGGTTTCAAAGTAAGTAAAAATCAATACTTTCAAAGTGTTTTATGAAGAAAAAAAATGCTCCCTTTTTTTTGTGCAGTTACATTATAAGATAGAGAGCAAAGAAAAAATGAGCAGAAAGAGAGCAAGAAAGCAGCTAAGAGAGAAAGACAAGAAAGAGAAAGTGTAGTAGTAGTAGTACTAGTGGTTTTTTTATAATAGTAGTAAAAGGAGGGTGGCAACGGTTCAATTTACTTTTTATGGGGTACAGTTTTCTTGGTCATAGGTGAGAGAGAAAAGAAAAGGAATGGTGGTGCTAGCTTGGATTTTAGAGAGGGTGAGCTGAAAGTTTTATGTCGGTCCAAAATGCTAATACTACTAAATTGTTATAATTATTAGGGTGCACATGACCAAATGCATGGATTGAGGGAAATAGTGTAATTAAGAAAAGGAATGCGTGTCTTTGCGTGTAATGTGTGTGTGAGATATGGAAATGAGCCAATGACAGATAATAAGATATACTATATAAGAAAAATAAAAATAAAATAAAATCTTTCACAAGGGAATGAAATTACTAAAATGAAAATATGGGCATAAATATTTTATAAATAATTAGATTATTGACCAAATATCTTTACGACCACTTAAACTTGGTTTCAGTTTTCATTTTGATACTTTAACTAAACGTATTACTTATTGAACACTTTAACCCAAATCAAAGTATGCTTATTGAACACAAAAGTTGACATGGTAAAAGAGTTGTATTTCGACCCCTCTTAGGCCCGTGAATTTTGATGGTTTTGAAATCATGTTTTTCTTTTCTTTTTTGTTTAAATTAAAATTGACTTTTTTTGTAAAGGCCACCCATAATTACCTTATCTCCACCATTGTCACCTCTGTAAGTATGCATCTCCATTATTGCTCTATTTTTGCTTCTGAACTGTGACAAAAGAAGGACAGAAGAATATTTTTTTCTCCAACAATAAATTTGGGCAAAATAAATACGTCAATGACTGATTTTCTCCAAATTCTATTCATTATTTTTCAACTTTTCCAGATTTCGCTCACCATCTTCTTCAGCTTTGCCATCTTCTTTCAACCCAGATCTGAAAATTTTTATTGTTACAGCAAAGAAATTCAAAAATAAAAATGATTTGCCCGACTATCAGTTTTAAATTTGATCCCGATGAGCGAAGGGCCGATGAACGAAAGGAAAAGAAGAAGGGAGGAGGGAGAAAGAGGATGACCAACGATGGAAGTGGAGAAGATGAACAACCACGAGTAAGATCCAACGGCTTTTTTACAACCAAAAAAATAACATCATGGCTTCTTTTTTTTTTTTTTCCCTGATGTGGCTTGTTTTAATGATCTGGCATCTTTTCATTGATTATATTTCCACATAAGCGCGTTTGAGCTTCACACATTTGTTTTATTTTTTGGGACTAAGTTTTTTGTGTTCAATAGGCATACTTTGATTTGGGTTAAAGTGTTCAATAGGTGATAGGCTTAGTTAAAGTGTTAAAATGAAAACTGAAGCTAAGTTTAAGTGCCGTATAGGTATTTGGCCTAGATTATATAAGTCATAAGTTAGATTTGAGGAAGTGAAAAAGATTTTATGTACCTTGTTTGATTCATAACTGGAATGCACCATTATGAATTGTTTCAGCTAGATCTATAGCTTTAGCTTGTTTGCCAAAGCTTCTTTAACGCCAAAAGTTATTATTATTTTTTTAAGTTGAAATGTTTGGCCAAAATTTTAAAAATAATATTTTTTTGAGCAGAAGCATAAGTAGTTTTGGAGAAATAGAAAAAGTAGTTTCTCATCGAGAGTATTTGAAAAGTATTTTTGACAAAATTACACTTAAAAGTACTTTTTAAAAGTTTAATCAAACATTAATGGCTGCTCAAAAAAGTATTTTTTATTTTAATTAGCCAAATACCTTCTCACCAAAAGTACATATGAAAGGAAATACTTTTCAAAATAAGTTGATTTTAGAAGTTTGACCAAATATGTTACTACTTTGTTAGCATACAAATACAACATACAATACTAATCAATGACACAAACACTTTGAGTGATATGACTGTTTTTTTCTTCATAAGTTGAAAATTAAGGCGCTATAAAAAATTGACTTAGAAAAGCAAGATACTAGTAACAAAAATGTACAATACGTATGCTCGGTACAAGTAATAATTCGCGATGTACAATATGAACGTAGCCCATATAACGTGGTGATGTTTTCCTTGACATTGTCATCTGCTTTGTCCAATTTACATAGGTCATTGACTCATTGGAGTTTTCAACAACTGCATTATATTACTTCATCACATGCTCAAATATACATAAGACATTGCAGCCAGAGGCATAATCACACTATACAAAGGTAATCAAGCGAACATCTTCGATGAACAATTATATTGTGTATAATATTTTATATGACTATATATTATATTGTAAATATTCTTAATACATTTAAGTAAGGTAATTTAATGGTCGAGAGTGTTCAAACTTCAAAGTGAGGTGTTGTTCATGAATTTAAATCCTTGTCTAAATATTTTTTATTTGCTCATTTTGTTGGCCAAAACAAGACGAAGATCACTGTATGTGATCTATTTGACTCTTTTTTAATCCAACAAAAATTCTTATAAATAAATATTAAAATTTAAAATGAGTGTAAAAACAAACAACTAATCTTAAAAGTTATTTCTTAAATAACTGTTATTATTTAAATGTCATGCTCTACAAAAGTTTCCTCAACAAAAGTTCTCTATATACTACTGACCCCTTAACTCTCTCCTTCCTTTGGCTTTATGTTTAATTTTATTAGTAGAATCTCTTTTATTGTCTTGTTTTATGTTAATTTTAATTTATAAAATTAGTTCTATTACAAGTATTTTAATTGTTTAGCTAAATATTGCATAGTTTGATTTTAAAAAATTCGGTGCACCCATTCATCGAAAAAAATTATCGATTTCCATAAAGTTCGAAAACCCTTGGCGAGATTTCTTGCGACGTCACTGATTATATCATTATTTATGACCCAACTTGAGAAAATAGAATCCCATATAACCAATATAAAAGTGAAATGGAGAATTTAGCTAAATTATGAGCTAACACATTCTATACGTCATTGGGGTTCAAACTAGTGAACTTTTGGTCACTAATGAAAACAGTGTTTATTCGTGGAATATGATCAAATTTTAAAAAAAAATTGAAAAAAAATTAAAGTTCCACTCACAAAACTTTAACCTTTTATAAATAAAATGTATGTCCAAACACAATTTTAACTTTTAAAAATTATTTTTCTATACAACTTTAAATTATTATTTTCAAGTTTTAATTAAATTTATGTCTAAACGCTAACTTAATATCTAAAATGTCCTTTTGCAAAATTCCCTTCCCCATTAAGTAATTTTTTCAAACGCACATAAAAGAAGGTTTTAGTTTTCATGGGATGAGGTGGGGTAAGGGGGTTTGGGGACGACAACCAATGGACAGTTCAGAGTGATACATTACCACACGCCTACTCCTTTAATTGAGAACCAAATTGTGTCTTCCACCAACCTCCATTATTCTTTTCCTTTTTTCGTCCCTCATAGTACCAAGTTTTCTACCATTAATACTAGACCCTTCCAGAGCATATTACCAATAATTAGTTGCTACATTTTTTGCGTAATTTGTAGGAGTCTCAATTATTATATTAGGTACTTATTATTCTAACGACATTAAAATTTGAACAAAAGTTATTATGTTTGAACCAATTGCTCCTCCCACTAGTATAAGATTGGATAACTCGATGTCTCTATCCACCAAAATTTAAATAATCACTTAGTAATATTTTTTGTCACTGCTAAAGTAATTAATTGCTACATTTTGATCAATCTTCTACTGAATACACTTATTTTGCTGCTCCTTTTTACTATAAGTGGATCCGAAACAACAGCTCTTAATTGGTTTCATAATGGCATCATCTACTTATAGGGTAGTACTAATTACTAGGCTTTAACTTCAAATTATCATCTCTCAAATAGTAGTACTCCATTTATATACATACACTGGGTTTTCATCCTCCTTCCAGTAAATAACAACTTGTTTGTTTTTTTCGTATCTATATTAATCTGAAATTAAATTTTCTTTTCAACCTAAATAATGTGAATCCGCTTATATTTTCCGAAAGTTGGTCTTTAATGATGACTTGCGCAAGTTAATATGCAAAAGGTTTGTTCCTAATACTGAGAAAGTTATGTTTTATGAATGTATATAACGTGAACAATTAATATTGGTTACCTTTTCTTCTCTACATCGATTGTGTCTATAATTTATTAATTAATCCCAAACATCTCTAAAATTCACTAAAGACAAAACCATTAGAATGATTTAAGATAAGGAAAGATGAAACTTTACTCTAAATAAGGAGAGGATCTATCGAGAATATAATCGTAAAATATACTCTTTCTATCTTAATTCATATTATACTCTTTTCAGTTCAGACGTTTCAAGATAGTTAACCCCATTAAATATTTTAGACAACTTTTACTACTTTTTAAAACTTTAATTTATTTAATTATTTAAATATAAACTTTTATGGAGTATTATTTTAAATTAGTACTAATCAGACACTATTATTACACCGAGAGCTCGTTTGGTACAATGGATAAGGAATAATTAATTGCGAAATTAAATTTAAGAAGAGTTTATCACATGTTTGGTTGGTAGAAAACTGCGGTATAATTAATCCCGGGATTATAGTATATTTTATTCCCATTGAAAGGTGGAATAATTAGTCTCGGGATAACTAATCCTGAGATAATTAATCCTGGGTAATTTCTTTCCAACCAAACTACCCATGATAGTAGGGGTGTTCGTCGATCGGTACGGTACGATATTTATATATTTCAGTTCGGTATTTTCGGTATTCGATTTCTTAAAATTCTATACCAATACCGTACCTAATTAAATTCGGTATGGTTCGATTTTTCTCATTTCGATTTCGATTTAATCGATTCGGCAACTTCGGTTTATTATGTTTGAATACTAACTAGTGCATAGAGCCATAGACTCTAATATTCTTAATTAAAGTACTCAAAAATACAAAACTAAAAATATTTGTTAACAAAAGTTTTGTCCAAAACCAGCAAATATCGACCCATAAAGAGAAAACTGTACATAAAAAGAATAAATTGGATTATTAGAAATGTCTTGTCACTTGTTTAGAGCTAATTGATGAACTTAGAGAATAAAAGAAAAGTAAAATTTTAGATTTTTTTATATTTATGTTATAATTGATAATATGTGTTTTGTCTAATATAATAGGAGTATATATTTCGGTATTTTATTTTAAAATATCAA